GGCCCATGGAAAGCACTAGATAAAGCACAGTTTTTGGCATTGTCAGGTGGCTGGAATTTTAAGGAGAGCAATATTGTTAGTGAATAAAGAACAGATCAACCTGGCCCTTGTGACTACGTGGTTAGAGTGCCAGCAAGGGTCATGGGTTGGATTCCCAGTCAAGGTCATGTACACTGGTTGTAGGTACACTCCCTGCCCCTGGTTGGGGCACTTGCAGTAGGCAACCAGTTGATGTGAGAGAGACACCCCGATGTTTCTCTCCCTCCCTCCTGTCTACTCTCTCTGAAAAGCAATGGGAAAAAGATCCTCACATGAAGCCTGAACCGGTTTGGCTGAGTGGATAGAGCGTCAGCCTTGGGACTGAAAGGTCCCAGGTTCGATTCTGGTCAAGGGCATTTGCCTTGGTTTCGGGCACATCCCCAGTAGGAGGTGTGCAGGAGGCAGCTGATCAGTGTTTCTCTCTCATCGATGTTTCTAACTCTCTATCCCTCCCCATTCCTCTCTGTAAAAAAAATCAATAATATATATATATATCTCCTCAGGTGAGGATTAACAACAACAAAAGGAATGGACCATTATGAGTAAGAGTGGAGATGGGGAGTGAGTTCATTAAGAAGCTGCAGGAGGGTTCTAGGTGAGAGCTGGTGTAGCTTGGACCTGAATTCTACCTGTTGGGGTAGAGGAGAGGGGACAGGATCCAGAGATGGCAGAAGTAGGTGGCTTGGTGGATGTGGAAGGTAACAGAAATGGAGGCATCCAGGATGACTCCTAGTTTCTGTCTCATGGAACTGTGTAAATAGACAGTGGAGGCAAGAGGTGACTTCAATTCGAGAACTACCAAGTCAGACATCCCTAATAGCACACTCTGCATTGTCACTCAGCTTCCGGGAGACAACAGGCAGGCAGTCGGATATACAGGCCTGAGCCTCAGGAGAGCAGTTTGGGCAAAGAAGAGATAAGGAAGCTGGCCTTGAACTGTGGGAGGTGTACACAGCCCAAGGGTGGGAAGAACGAGCCCCACTCGGGATGGGGAGAAAGACAGATCCTCTGTGGGAAAGTAAGGTGTGCAGCCAGAGAGATCGGTGGTAAACCAGGGGCACGTTGCCTCTTGAAGTTCAAGGGAAGGAAGGGCTAATGGGAGAGGAGGAGAGCCTCAGAGTGAAAAGCTTTGCGGAGATCAAGCAGAAGAAGGACTAAACATTGGACATGGATTCAGCAGCAGGGAGGCACTGGTGACCTCATCCAGACCAGTCAGAGGAGTGATGGGTACAGAAGGCGGTCCAGGATGAGAAGAGGAGTGAGTGGTATGGAGAGGAAATGGAAGGACACGTCTCTTCCACAAACTTGGCTCTGAGAGGGGCTGAAGGCGGTGTGTGTTACTAGAAAGAAAGAAAAAATAGGTCCACAGCGGGTCTCACTTCTTTTTGTAGTTTTTTTGTTTTTGTTTTGTTTTTTATTTTATTGATTTTTCACAGAGAGGAAGAGAGAGGGATAGAGAGCTAGAAACATCCATGAGAGAGAAACATCGATCAGCTGCCTCTTGCACACCCCCTACTGGGGATGTGCCGGCAACCAAGGTACATGCCCTTGACCGGAATCGAACCGGGGACCTTTCAGTCCACAGGCCGACGTTCTATCCATTGAGCCAAACCGGTTTCGGCTCTTTTTGTAGTTATTTAATTAAAAGTCAACTTGATATTGAAATATAATATGCATACAGAATGGGCACAGTCAGTGGTTCAGCTCGATACATTTTCTTTTTTTTTGTGCTCCAATAGAACTTTAATTACAAAACAAATGGCAGGGCAGATTTGGCTCACAGGCTGCCATTTGCTCGATACTTTTTCACAAGGGAACACAACTCCATAGGATTAGGAAATAGAACCCAGATTAGGAAATTGCACATCAGCACCTCCCTGGAAACCCCGTGTCCCCTTCCCATCACTATTCTCAAGGGTAACTACTATTCTGATTTCAATAACCATATGGATGAGTTTGGCCCATTTCTGAACTTCGCATCAGACTCACAGGCGTCTTCAAACTTTTTAAAGTGGGGGCCAGATCACGGTCCCTCAGAGAGCTGGAGGGCCGGACTATATGAACTACTAATTCCTAACTGTAACACCTCGGCTGCGCTCACTGCCCAAAAAACCTGGCGGGCCGGATCAGACTCTTCTGCGGGCCGCATGTGGCCCGCGGGCCGTAGTTTGAAGACGCCTGCATCAGAGGAATCACACGTATATCCTCTCTTGTGGTCTTGCTTCTTTCACTCAGCATCACATCACGTCTGTAAGATTCATCCATATTACTGCGTGTAGTTGTATGTTTCTTCTTTTTGTTGTAGAGCATTACGTTATCAACTGATGGCCATTTGGGTAGCTGCCAGGGTTGTTTTCATTTTTTATGTGGGAGTGACTTGCATTTGTTTGAGGCCTGTAGAGGTCTGAAACACTGCTCTTTTCTGAGAAAGGACAGAGACGGCTAGGATTTCTCCAGCGGGAAATGAGAGCCCGGCCGAGGTTGAGATTGCTCTGAAGTTCCAGCCCCGCTGCTGGGCCACGGCCTCTGGCAGCTCTTGCCAGCCTGCGTGCAGGTACAGGGAGTCAGGTTGTCAGGGTTGGTCTCTGCCAGGTAGGAGAAGCACAGAGTGCCGGGGATATTAGCAGCAAGCGAGTGACGAGTCCCGGCTGTGAATTCGGGCCGGGAGAAGGGTGTGCAGGGAAGGCAGGGAAGAGAAGGTAGGGGGGAGCTGGCAGAGAGAAAGCAAGCAGAGGTGGATTGTGAGCTCTTTGCTGGGTGGTGTCTGTGCGATTCCGGCTGCATCTCCAGTTACTGGCACATGTGGGAGTCATATGCGCCCTCTGCCCTGGCTGGGGGGCAGTGCCCAGGGTTGTCCTTCAGTGAATAGTTAACAAATCAGCTGAGAGCCCAAGAGGTCTCAGATAGAAGCAGGTGAGGTAGGGGTAATTGAGTCATTGTGGTTGTGATTCAGGAAAGGGGCATTCCAGAGCCAGGTGATAAGGCTAAGGTGTTCCCATGACTGGGGATCGGGTGGCTGAAGATTGCAGATAGGCCAGTGTTGGACAGGTAGCTCACTGAGTGCGTATTTGCCGATGTAGCACCCATTTTTCAAGAAGAGAACAGGGGCCGAAGCTGGTTTGGCTCAGTGGATAGAGCGTTGGCCTGTGGACTGAAAGGTCCCGGGTTCGATTCCAGTCAGGGGCATGTACTTTGGTTGCGGGCACATCCCCGGTGGGGGATGTGCAGGAGGCAGCTGATCGATGATTCTCTCTCACCGATGTTTCTAATTCTCTATCCCTCTCTCTTCTTCTCTGTGAAAAATCAATAAAATATATTTTTTAAAAAAGAAAAGAAGAGAACAGGGGCCGAACTGGTTTGGCTCAATGAAGAGAGCATCAGCCTGCAGACTGAAAGGTCCCAGGTTCGATTCTGGTCAAGGACATGTACCTTGGTTGCAGGCACATCCCCAGTAGAGGGTGTGCAAAAGGCAGCTGATCAATGATTCTCTCTCATCGATGTTTCTCACTCTCTATCCCTCTCTCTTCCTCTCTGTAAAAAATCAATAAAATATATTTTTTTAAAAAAAGGGGGGGATCAGGGGATAGCATTTCTCCAGCTGGGGTCCTTGGGCATCTGGCATCTGAACCCATAGGGTGCTGGTGGGCTTATTGGAAGTGTAGATGCCTGGGTCCACCTAGCTTCTCGGGGAGAAAGGAAGCCCCGTGCCACAGCACTGAGCATCAGGGAGGAGGAGTGTTTGAGAGGGAAGAGCCCTGCCCCTCTGAGGACACGGGATGCCCAGGGGACCCTAGGCAGGGTGGCCTCGATCCTGGTATTGGAAGTGGACAAGGGGTTTTATTTTATTATTATTTTAATAATTTTTAAAAATAAATTATTAAAATAATAATAATAAATTATTTGTAATTGATTTTTAGAGAGAAAGTGAGAGGGAGAGAGAGAGGCAGACGTATCAATGATGAGAGAGGATCATTGATTTGCTGCCTCCTGCATGGTCAGCGACTGGGCCTGCAACCTGGGCACATGCCTGACTGGGAATCGAACTGTGACCTCCTGGTTCACAGGTCAATGCTCAGCCACTGAGCTCCCACCTCCAAGGGGTTTTCTAAGAAGAGTTTCTGAGCCAGGAAAGGGCTCCCACTAAGGGGATCTGGCCCATGGGAGCTGGAGGGCAGGAGGATGGGCTCCGCCCCAGGAAGCAGCTTCTGTTAGAGGAGGGCCTGGCTGGACAGTGCGTTCTCTTGCCCGGGACCTGGGGGGAGTGGAAGGTGGGGAGGGAGAGCGCCCAGACCGAGCACCCCCTCTGTGGGTGATGGGTGGGGGTCGGGGTGCATGGGGCTGGACCCAGTTCTTTCTCTGCTTCCATTCCGGGGCAGTGACACAGAATGTCCCACACTGTTAGCTCCTTTCCCTTCTCGGCCTCTCTGACCCCTCATGCTCAGCGCCTGACTGTATGCCCATTGGCACAGCCCCTCTGCTCAGCTGCCACTCTCTAGCCTTCACACTCAGAAACCGGACTCCCAGCCCTCTGTGTGTGCAGCTCTTTTCCCACACGCCTCAACAGCCACCCTGTGAGCCCCCTATGCCAAACTGCGCCCAGTCACCAAACCCCCTTAGTGTGAGCCCTTTCCTGGCTCAGTAACTTCTTAGAAAACCCCTTGTTGCCTGGAGGTGGTAGCCCAGTGGTTTGAGCACTGACCTATGAACCAGGAGGTGACAGTTCGATTCCCAGTCAGGGCATATGCCCAGGTTGCAGGCACTCAGTGTCCTCATTCTGTTTATCCCTCCATATCCACGGCTTAACTCCTTTAACGCACCCTCCCGATCCCACCCGTGAAGACCCCGGCCAGTCCCCTCTCGGAGGGGAGCCCCCAGTTACCCCTCCCAGAGGCGGGGCTGGCCGAGGAGGCCCCCCTGGTCCGCCCGGCCCGCCCCGTCCCGGCGGCGGGCTGAGTCAGGCGGCAGGAACTGGGCGGGGGGCGGCGCCGAGAGGAGCTGGAGCCCGAGCCAGTCCCCGGAGCGAGCGCGCGGGGAGCCCGGCCTGGCGGGCACCGAGCGGCCCTGGTCCGGCGGGGGCGCGGGGCGTGGGGAACAGGCGCGGGCCGTGGGGGGCTGCCCCGGACCCACCATGAACACCAAGAAGAAAGGTAGGACCCGCCCTGGGGGCTGCGAAAGGCTCAGGGACTAGCTAGCTCCACGGGGTGCGGGCCGGATTGTGGGGGGGGGGGGGTTCGGGGTGCGTGTTTCTCCAGAGAGGGGTGGGGGGTCCCTGGAACATCACTGATCCCTCTTAAAGGGCGCGGTCGAAAGCGTCTGTGACTCAGTTTCCAGGTCGGAGTCGCAGGAGAGTGAAGGGGGCGGGGCGCTTCTCGGCACTGCCCCCCACTCTGGGAATCCCCCGGCTCCGGGCGCCGGGAGGGCTCCGGCGTCTGGGCGCCCGGGAGCCGACGGGGGGGCTGGAAGGGGAGCAGCTTACCCGGGGCGGGCGGGTCGCAGGAGCCAAACCCGCGCAGGCCGGGCGGGCCTGTCGGGCGGCTCCGCTGGGCTCCGAGCGTGCACCCCGCCCCGCCAGGTGACCTCCGGCGGCCTCGCGGGGCGCGGGCGCGGAGCTCCCGGTCCCCGTCTTTGGGGGGAGACCCGGGGCCGGGCTGCGGAGCCCGCCCCGCCCGCGGGTAAACAGGCGCTTCCGCACATTCTTCGCGCGCCCCGCCCCTTTCCTGCCCCTTCGCAGCCGGGGAGGGTCCCCGCGCGACCCCCCTTCCTGCCCCCGCGGCGGGCGGGGCGGCACCTCTGCAGGAAGCGGGGGCCGGGCCCAGGCCACGCAGAGCCCAAGGCCGAGGCGCCCGCCCGAGGCAGCCCTGTCCTTAGCGCGGCGGCCGGCGGGGCTGCCGGACTCCCGGCGGCGGCGGCGGCGGCAGGCCGGGCCCGCGGGCCTGGGAGACGGAGGACGGGGCCGCGGAGTGGGGGTTCCGAGGGCCCGATTGGCGCTGGACACTCGCCCTCGCCACCCCCAGGGAGCCCCGCGCGGACTCATTCCATGATGTCCCTGTCGGTGCGGCCGCAGCGCCGCCTGCTCAGCGCCCGGGTCAATAGGAGCCAGTCCTTCGCAGGCGTCCTCGGCAGCCAGGAGCGGGGGCCCAGGTACGCAGCAGAGGGGGGTCTGATGGGGGTCAAGAGAGACTGGGTTGGAGCTGAGGGTGCAGTGAGGGTTTGGGGGATTCCTTCTTGGCCCTCTCTGAGCGCAGCCTCTTCTGCAGGAGCTTCGCGGCCTTCAGCCCCCCGGGCCCCCCGCGGAAGGCCCCAGCGGCGCTCTCTCGGGTGTCCAGGATGTTCGCAGTGGCGCACCCAGCCCCCAAGGTCCCGCAGCCCGAGCGGCTGGACCTGGTGTACGCGGCGCTCAAGCGGGGCCTGACGTAAGCCACTCGCTGCCGAGCCCCCACCCACCCTCTCTCTGCTGGTGGGAGCCTTCCCCAGCCTCACTCACACCGTCTCCCCACCGCCGTGCCCTGGGCAGCTAGCTGGAGGCTGCGGCGGTAAGCTGACTTTTGTCGTCATCCCTTCTCCCAGGGCCTATCTGGAAGTACACCAGCAGGAGCAGGAGAAACTCCAAGTGCAGATAAAGGAATCCAAGAGGAACTCCCGCCTGGTGAGTGAAGGGTTGACAAGGCTGCCCTGGACTGCTAATGCTTTTTGCCCTTGTAGTGTGGGGGGCTGGGGCGGGCCAACCCTGGGTGACATCAAGGCTGTTTTGGGATGACTGGGTCTAGGTGTGACTAGAAAAGGGGATATTAAGAAAGGTTGGGAGCCGAAACCGGTTTGGCTCAGTGGATAGAGCCTGTGGACTGAATGGTCCCAGGTTTGATTATGGTCAAGGGCATGTATCTTGGTTGCCAGCACATCCCCAGTAGGGGGTGTACAAGAGGCAGCTGATCGATGTTTCTCTGAGGGTGTTTCTAGCTCTCCATCCCTCTCTCTTCCTCTCTGTGAAAAATCAATAAAATATATTTTTTTTAAAAAAAGAAAGAAAAAAAGAAAGGAAGGAAGGTAGGTTGGGACCCTGACCGGTTTGGCTCAGTGGATAGAGAGGTCGGCCTGCAGACTGAAGGTCCAGTTTCTCATTGAAGTTTCTAACTCTCTATCCCTCTCTCTTCTTCTCTGTAAAAAAATTAATAAAATATATATTTTTAAAAAGATTGGGGAGTTTCTATCCCACATTCCCCAGACTGCACTTTCTGCCAGGGACCCAGTGCCTGCCCATGTGAGCTTCCAGTGGGGTGGGTGGACCCCCACAGACATGAATAACAGATTATATTTAGTGGTATTGAGGGGAGCCATAGTTCTTCCTAGAGAACAGCTCAGGGCATCCCAAAGGAGGGAACACTTCTGCTGGGTTTTGAAGGATGAATAGGAGTTCCCTGGTCGTGGGAACCACGCATGAGGAGGCACGAAGCTCTCTTCCTAGGGGTTGCAGGAAAGGGAGTGGGCTAGGGGAGGGAGAGACCCCAGGGAAGAAATGGTGGAAGGGTGCTGGAGGGGTCTTGGTGACCATATCTTTGTCACCAGTACCCAGCACAGTTCAGGCATGTGGAAAGGTTGGTCAATCCCTGCTTTGACTGGAGTAGCTATGGATTGTGGTGTGAGGGGGAGGAAGGCTGAAAAGGAGAGGAGCTGGGCCGCTAGCTCTAGCCAGTTTGGCTCAGTGGATAGAGCATTGGCCTGCGCCCTGAAGGGTCCCAGGTTAGATTCCAGTCAAGGGCACATGCCTGGGTTTGGGGTCTTGATCCCCAGTAGGGGCTGTGTAGGAGGCAGTCAATCAGTGATTCTCTCTCATCATTGATGTTTCTATCTCTCTCTCCCTCTCCCTTCTTCTCAGAAATTAATAAAAATACATTTTTTTTAAAAAAGGAGAGCTAGATGGGTCTGAGTAACAAGTGCCCCGCTGGAATACATACTGTACCTTCTAAGTGCTCCCTCTCGTCTTCCCCTGCAGGGCTTCCTGTATGACCTAGACAAGGTGAGTGCATAGAGGACGGTGTTGGAGGAGGTTGGCTCCTGGGGGAGGATACAGGGCTCTGGGCCTCAGGCTCTTCCTGACACACCTCTCCCCCAGCAAGTCAAGTCCATTGAACGCTTCATGCGACGGCTGGAGTTCCATGCCAGCAAGGTACGTATGCAGCATGCATGAATACAGGTGTGGGTTTCGGGGTTGGGTGTCTTAGGGAGATGGGGATGCTAGGCTCCGGGTGAGCAGCTCCAGTAGTGAGTCTCAGTCCCCCCACTGCCACCCCACTCACCTGCCCAGATCGACGAGCTGTATGAGGCATACTGTGTCCAGCGGCGACTCCGGGACGGCGCCTACAACATGGTCCGTGCCTACACCACCGGGTCCCCAGGGAGCCGTGAGGCCCGGGACAGCTTGGCCGAGGCCACTCGCGGGCATCGAGAGTACACGGAGGTGAGGGATGGGTGCCCAGGAGGCGGAGGCTCAGGGTTTGGGAGAGCGGACTGGTTGTTGACTCTCTCCTGTCCCTGCCTGTCCCTCCCAGAGCATGTGTCTGCTGGAGAGCGAGCTGGAGGCACAGCTGGGAGAGTTCCACCTCCGGATGAAAGGTGGGGGCAGACCGGTAGTAGGGAGAGGGATGTGTGTGCTGAGACCTCTCCCTCAACACGGTTCTTCTTTTCCTCCACTCCCAGGACTGGCTGGCTTCGCCAGGCTGTGTGCGGGTGATCAGTATGAGGTATGAGGATGTGCAGGGAAGGGCTGGGATGTCAGGGTCACAACACCGAGGGCTGCCTCATCCTGCTTGTTCCCTTAGATCTGTATGAAATACGGGCGTCAGCGCTGGAAACTACGCGGCCGCATTGAGGGTAGCGGAAAGCAGGTGTGGGACAGCGAGGAAACGGTCTTTCTTCCTCTGCTCACGGAATTCCTGTCCATCAAGGTTAATGTCTCTGCCCAGGACCACAGGACACATGATCCAGGACCCTGTGAACCCCTTTTGACCCGTACAACCCTGGGACCCACCCGTCCTGGCTCCACGGCCCTGTGAATATGTGATGCCAAGATCTTCTGACCCTGTGCCCATGTCCCCAAGTCCCCATGAGGCTGTGATCCCCATACCTCAATGACTCTACAAAGTCAGGCCTCTCTGATCCCCAGGCTCACAGGGTGTTTTAGGCTTCCGTGGCCCTATTACCCAGACAGCTCCAATCCCTGCAACCTCTGCATGACCCCATGACCCTGTGACCATTGCAAAACCTCTATGCAAATTCAGACTTTTGATCTCCCATGACCTCATGACCCCCTACACTCTTGTGACCCCATGATGCATTCTTGGCTATAGGTGACAGAGCTGAAGGGCCTGGCCAACCACGTGGTCGTAGGCAGCGTCTCCTGCGAGACCAAGGACCTGTTTGCCGCCCTGCCCCAGGTTGTGGCTGTGGACATCAATGACCTCGGCACCATCAAACTCAGCCTGGAAGTCACGTGGAGGTTGGCGGGGTTGGGGAGCTTGGGGACAGGGCCAGGAGCCAGTGGCATCTGCTAACAGCCTCTTTTCCTCCCCAGCCCCTTCGACAAAGATGACCAGCCCTCGGCTGCTTCTACTGTCAACAAGGCCTCCACAGTCACCAAGCGCTTCTCCACCTACAGCCAGAGCCCGCCAGACACACCCTCGCTTCGGGAACAGGCCTTCTATGTGAGTCACAGCCCGGGCTCAGGCCCCGCCATCCCCCAGGGGTCTGACAGTGACCCTGAAATGCCCCCTCCTCTCTCCCAGAATATGCTGAGGCGGCAGGAGGAGCTGGAGAACGGGACAGCGTGGTCCCTGTCATCCGAGTCTTCGGACGATTCGTCCAGTCCGCAGCTCTCGGGCACTGCCCGCCACTCCTCGGCCCCGAAGCCCCTGGTGCAGCAGCCTGAGCCTCTGCCCATCCAAGTGGCCTTCCGTAGGCCTCAGATCCCCACCTCCGGGCCCACGGAGGAGGAGGGAGCCGCGGCCCCCATCCTGGCCAATGGGCACGCCCCCTACAGCCGGACTCTCAGCCACATCAGCGAGGCCAGTGTGGATGCCGCCTTGGCTGAAGCTTCAGTGGAGGCCGAGGGCCTGGAAAGCCAGCGATCTAACCTGCCTGCACACCCAACTCCCACCACTAGGGAGCATCCTGGTCCTGTCCCTACTGCCCCGGGCCCTGACCGTTCTGCCACAAGCCCCCCTCTCAGGGCACTAGGCCCTGCTCACACATCCACAGACCCTGTCCCATCTGTACATCAAAACTCTTTTCGCAAGGCTGCAGACTCCAGCTCTCGTGAATTGCCAGGCCCCGCCCACACTACTCCAAGCTCTACCTGTAGTGCCATAAGCCCCACCAGCCGTGCTCCAAGCGTCACTCACACTGTCACAGGCTCTACCCACAAGCCAAAGCCCTCTACCCTCCCTGCTACAGGCCCTACCCCCATTGACACGGGCCCAGGCCAGACCACCACCACCACAAGTCCCACCGACAAGCCAGTGCTTTCTACCCTCACTACTGCAGGCCACAGCCCCAACACTACGAGCCCAGTCCAGACCACAAGCCCCAGCCACCCTGTCACAAACCCGACAGATATTGTCACAAGCCCTACCGTCAAGCCCATACTCTCTACCCCCACTACTACAGGCCCTACACCAAGTGCCCAGAGCACAGCCCAGCCTACCACAATGCCCACCCATACCACCACAAGCCCCTCCCACGCCACAAGCCCCACCCACACAACCACAAGCCCCTCCCACGCCACCACAAGCCCCACCCACACAACCACAAGCCCCACCCATGCCACCACAAGCCCCACCCATGCCACCACAAGCCCCTCCCACACAACCACAAGCCCCACCCACACTACTACAAGCCCTACCCACACAAGCTCCACCCACACTATTGAAAGCCCCACCCACACGACCACAAGCCCTACTCACAAAGCCAGTATGTCTACTCACACTACTGTAAGTCCAACCACTGATGCTAAGGACCCAGTCCAGACCACCAGAAGCCCCACCCACACTGTCACAAGCCCCACCCTTGTAACTGTAAGCCCTTCCACTTCTCCAGACCTTGCCACGCTCCCCAGCCCCTCTGCACACACGGACCCCAACCCACCATCCCATAGCCACCCAGCTTCCACTCCCTGCACTCAGGCAGATCCCACAGCCCCAAGCACCTCCCACCCAAGCCCTGCCTGCTCCAGTTCCGAACCTCTTACAACCCTCTCCCCAGACCCTCCAGAGCCCATCCTTCAGAACCCAAGCCCCCCTCCCTCACCCTTCACCCCTGGGCCCCAGCATTCAGACGTTAGCCTGGCCACGACTGCCCAGGCCCCAGTTCCAGGAGCGACAGGAGGAGCTGGAGACAGGAGGCTGGAGGAGGCCCTGGGGGCCCTGATGGCTGCCCTGGATGACTATCGTGGCCAGTTCCCAGAGCTGCAGGGCCTGGAGCAGGAGGTGATCCGGCTGGAGAGTCTGCTCATGGTGAGGAGGGCCGGGCCGGGCTGTGGCAGCACGGGAAGGGCAGCCAGCCAGGCAGTGGCAAGGTCTCTGACTCCCTTCCCAACCCCAGCAGAGGCAGGGCCTGACTCGCAGCCGGGCCTCCAGTCTTAGCATCACTGTGGAGCACGCCCTGGAGAGCTTCAGCTTCCTCAATGAGGACGAAGATGAAGACAATGATGGTCCTGGAGACAGGTGACCGGGGCTAAGCGAGATGGGGTTAGGTGAGGGTGAGTGAGGCGAGTGCCAGGTGACGGAGTAAGGAGAGGAGGGAGAAGAGTGAGGTGGGTCCAGGTGGAGCATATGAGTAGTGCAGCTAGACTGGGAGAGGATAGGAGGGGTGGACGTGCTTGTGGGTGCATCTGTGTTTATCCCTCTCGTGTACTCATGTGTCCTTAACGCCCTGTTTCTAACCAACCCCATCTATCCCTAGTGCTTCTGACCACCCTCCTCCTCGCCCCTGCCATGTCCTCTTCCCTCACCAGCCACCATCCACCCGTGAGCCCTTTCGGGCGCTCCCCACGGCTGTCCTGGACAGCCTGGCCCCGCAGCTCTCTGGGACCAAGTGGCCTTTGAAAATTCCAAGTTGAGGGTCATACCCGGCCCCTCCTCCGTCTGCTGATGCCCAGGTCACAGCCCTGTGCCCTGAGCCCCTTGGGCCACAACCCCTTGCATTTCACATTGCATAGACCGTTTCACTTGCAACCTGAAGACCACTGTTACCAACTGCTGGTCCCAGCCCCTTCCTCCTTCCGGAAGTTCTCCGTGAACTTACCCATTGTCTGTTGTCTGGCGTTGTCTGTGCGTCTGTCCTTCCCTTCTGGGATGGGGGGGACTTAATAAAAATACACTGGTGGCCAGATGGTGATGTGTATTCCTAAGGTGGTTGCCACTATTTTCTCTCAGGCCCCCAAGCAGCCTGGAGCCTAAGGCTGAAGACAGCCTCGCCTCGCCCAGTGCCCGCCCCCTCAGCACGGAGTGTCCAGCTCTGGACACTGCCTTGGTCCAGCACCTGTACTACTGCAGCCGCCTCCTGCTGGTGAGGCTAGTGGTATTCTCCCCACCCGCCTTTCACCTCAGAGAGCTCCCCACACCTGTTCTGAGTTCCATTCCCCAATACTCCAGGCCCCTGGCATCCGGCTCCTACCGACCACCTCCCACACTATGGCTCCCTGTCTAATCTCTCCTAATGCATGCTGGGACTTGTAGTCCCTGGGCTTCACGCTCCGCAAGTTCTACCCTGAGATCTGAGCTACTTGGCCACCCCTTTTCTCCAGAAACTGGGCACCTTCGGGCCCCTACGCTGTCAGGAGGCCTGGGCCCTGGAGCGACTGCTGCGGGAGGCCCGCGTGCTGGAGGTGGTGTGCGAGCTTAGCAGGCGATGGGAAGCCCCTGCCACTTCCGCCCAGGAAGGTAAAGGCCCGTGGGCTCTGGCATGGTGTCTGCCCCGAAGTTCCTTCCTCGTTCTCCCCAGCCTACCCTTGTCTGCCCACCTGCCAACTCTGTTGCTGACGGTCTCTTGCACGTCCTCCCAGTGGTGCAGTTCTCAGCCTCTCGGCCTGGCTTCCTGACCTTCTGGGACCAGTGCACAGAGGGCCTTAGCCCCTTCATCTGCCCCGTGAAGCAGGTGCTCCTCACCTTCTGCAATCAGTATGGTGCCCGTCTCTCCCTGCGCCAGCCAGGCTTAGCTGAGGCCGGTGAGTAAGGCTGCCCGCCCGCCCCCCCTGCCCTCCCTTCTCAGATTCCCAGTGATGGGACCGCAGGGAAAGCCGGGTCAGCTCACGCGGACGTGCTGAGCTGAGCACTGAGAAGAAATAGCCAAGGCTTTTGTGCCTTGGTGCAAGAGGACCCAGATGGGTAGGGTTTGGGCGAGGGGCCTGTGGATCTGAGCCTGGGGTGGGAGCCCTCTTTCCTCTAAGGGCGTGGGTCCACCCAAACGCTGAGGTCTCTGGCACTGCTTCCCACAGTGTGTGTGAAGTTTCTGGAGGATATGCTGGGGCAGAAGCTGCCGAGGAGGCCCCAGCCCGGCCCCGGAGAGCAGCTCACCGTCTTCCAGTTCTGGAGTTACGTGGAGACCTTGGACAGCCCCTCCATGGAGGCCTACGTGACGGAGACCGCTGAGGAAGGTGAGGCAGCAGCCCTGGCGACAGAAGTGCAGACGCTGTGTGTGGTATGGGTGAGGCATGGATGAGGACATGAATGTGCAGGAGACCCCACCCAGGAAGCTCCTGGCCCCGCTACATTGTTCCAACGTCCTGCTTTCAGTGTTACTGGTGCAGAATCTGAACTCCGACGATCAGGCCGTTGTGCTCAAGGCCCTGAGGTTGGCACCCGAGGGGCGGCTGCGAAGGGACGGGCTTCGGGCCCTCAGCTCCCTGCTCGTCCACGGCAACAACAAGGTCATGGCTGCGGTCAGCACCCAGCTCCGGAGCCTGTCGCTGGGCCCTGCCTTCCGGGAAAGGGTGAGTGGGGCAGGGCTCCCTCGAAGGCAAAGGCTGGCGTCCCAGGCTCCCAGTGTCTGGCTAAGTGCCCTCCTACCCTTACCCAGGCCCTCCTGTGCTTCCTGAACCAACTCGAGGATGAGGACGTGCAGACGAGAGTGGCGGGCTGCCTGGCCTTAGGCTGCATCAAGGTGATCCCTGCCAACCAACCCCTTTACCTCCCCTCGGGGCTCCCCCAGCCCCGGGCCCTGGGCTTTTCCATCTGCTCCGATGGGCCCTCCTCAGCGCTCCCTCCTCCGGCAGGCCCCTGAGGGCATTGAGCCCCTGGTGTACCTGTGCCAAACGGACACAGAAGTCGTGAGGGAGGCTGCTCGGCAGAGCCTGCAACAGTGCGGTGAGGCTGCGGGAGGGGAATCAGAGGTCCAGCAAGAGTTCTGGGATGTTTTGGCTGATGGGGGTAGAGGGGGGGAGGGAGATGGGGTCAAAGGTGGGAGGACCACGGCTAGGGCTACTCCTGACTCCATTCTTACTCATTGCAGGGGAAGAGGGACAGTCTGCCCACCGACGGCTAGAAGAGTCGCTGGACGCCCTGCCCCGCATCTTCGGGCCCGGCAGCATGGCCAGCACAGCCTTCTGAACTGCCCACCCTCTGGCTCAGTGCCACATCCCCCCACTTTCAGGGTTCACCAGGTGGCAGGGAGGGTGAGGGCTGGCTCCAGACACCCCTCCCCCACATATTCCTATCAATGAAAATCTAATATATTCTTCAGTTGCCCTTGGGGGTTGGTAGAGTCAGTGCCTGTAGTCAAGTGCCTCCCAGCCTCAGCTCAGCACACTTGCCACAGATCAGTGCCCCAGTGCCCCGGGCCTGGCCATCCTGCCTCTGCCCCATCACCTCCCCAGGTTTTGTATTTTATTTACAGAGTTTTACAGAAAATAATAAAAAAAAGCAAAATGCCTTTCCTACATGGCCTGGCCTAGTGTACGCCTGATCTCCTGGTTCCAGCACTCTGTGGCTGTGGCCTTCCTGACATGCCCGCACTCCCAACTGTGACAATGGCGTGTGCTTTTGCCCTGGAAATCTGGGTGGACGAGTGCCCAGGTACTGGAAGTGGGCTTGGAGAAGAGGGCAGAGAGAAAGGGTGGTGGTGTGCTGCTGAGGAGGATCAGCCTGCACTGGGCCTGGACGGACGTGAGGAGCACAGGCTGGAGCCAAACCACGGAGCTGGCCTAGAGAAGGCCAAAGAGTGCCAGTCCTGGGAATGGCTCCCCAGCTGCTAGCACCCTGCTGCTGCCAGGAGGCAAAGAGGAAGCAGCAGAGAGAAAGGCGCGGTGGTGGCTGGAGTTCCTAGCCACCAGGGGGCAGCAGAGCCCTGTCTGAGAATGCCAGGCTTCTGGATTTCCCTTCGGCCCTGGCAGCTTCCTACAAAGGGGATCGAGCACTAGGAGCTCCTAGAGGGCTGGGGAGTAAGCCAGAGGAGATCCTTGCAGAGGGGAAGAGCGAGGGCCTGCGTGGCAGGAGACCAGGAAGGCTGCCCAGTGACCCTAAATAAGTCCCTCCTCTACCCAAACCACCTCCCCTCCGTAATAACAAACCTGACTGAACCCCAGGGCCCTCCACAGCCAGCTGGCCCGTTTTGGGAAGCAGGGTTCCAGGGAGGGTTCATCTCCTCCCCAGAGGTGGCGGGCCTCCTGTTAAGCGTGTTAACCCCAGAAGGCAAAGAGCTCTGTGGGAGGAACTTGAGGGTGGGGTGGGATTGCAGGATGGCAGGCCTGTTCTAAGGAGGGCCTGAGGGAGGCCCACACCCAAGGCTGGAGAAACTGGCCCTCCACCCTTCCCTCCTCACTCCAGAGCTTTCATTATCCAGGGGCAAGGGAGTCGGTGCCCAGGCCGGGCCTTCCCGATGCTGGAGTCCAGTGACACACGGGAGTGTGTGCACCTGCACTCAGGCACAGCTAATGAGGTGCCAACAGTCTTTCCTTGGTGGGGGGGTGACCCAGATCCCCAGGCTCCGCCCCTCCCCTCCCCCGTGTTTTGGAGCTGTGTATAAGAGGTTTGGCTGGCCCTTCACCACCTGCTGGGGAAGCCATGCTGAGCAGAAGAAGAAGAAGAAGAAACGGCAACAGGAAGGCGCACAGGAAACACCTGCCTGTGGATGCAGGTGGCGCACTCTCGTCGGGGGGTGGGGGGGGCTGTGGGCAAGCACAGTCCTCGCACCGCTCCGTGCTCCCTCTGTAACTGAAGGGCGTCATGGGCGGGATGGTGCGCAGTCCAGCTCTTTGGGGTGGTGGGCTGGGGTGGCAGAGGGCGGGGAAGGCAAACAAGTAACAGATACCAAGCCAGCACCCAAAGCAGACCACAGCTTGGGCCTGCTTCAAGGCCCCCTGCAGGAGGGTTGCGGTCCAAAAACCAACCCCGGGGCCCCACTGGTAGAGCAGGACTGTCCACTGACATTCAAAGCATAGCCCGTGTGGTGGGGAAAGAGGAAGTAAACCCTGGCTGACCAGGTTCTGGGAAAGGGCAGACGGGTGACTGGGCTGGCAGGGGTGCACACAGCTCAATCCACAGGAGGGCAGCCTCGTCAAGAACTGTGAGGTGGAAAGATCATCCCCATTGAGGGTCATCTGGAACTGGCTCAGTGGCCCTCTATCACTGCTTGCCAATGCTAGAAATGGATAGGGCTCCTAAGTTTCTATCCCCTACATGGAGAGTCCTCAGGCCACTGCCTAGTATTCAACCCTAGCCAAGGGGCAGGGCAGGTTCTGTGGGCATAGCCAGGTACAGGTAAAGAATTGTCAAAGCCGCTGAAACTGGTTTGGCTCAGTGGATAGAGCGTCAGCCTGCGGACTGAAAGGTCCCAGGTTCAATTCCGGTCAAGGGCATGTACCTTGGTTGCCAGCACACCTCCAGTACGGGGTGTGCAGGAGGCAGCTGATCGATGTTTCTCTTATCAATGTTTCTAACTCTTTTTTTTTTCTTTTCCTTTATTTATTTATTTATTTATTTATTTCCTTTTTATTTTATGTTTCTAACTCTTTATCCCTCTCTCTTCCTCTCTGTAAAAAATGAATAAAATATATTAAAAACAAAAACAAAAACAAAAAACGATGAAAGTATTACCATTTAAACACACACACACACACACACACACACACACACACACAAAAACTGTCCTTTGCCCCATCAAGCCTACCTAGCGTAGAGCAGTGTAGATCCACTGCTCAATCCCTCTCCATCAGCAACTTGGAAGTCAGACCGGATGGCCTCCTACACCCAGGCCCAGGCCCAGGTCTGCAAGACAGTAGAGGGCAGGGCGAGTCCTTGTCCCCCCTCCTGACAGCATCCCTCCCTCAACACACACAGCTTCACAGGAGCCTCTCACAGGTCTTCCCACAGGGCAGATCTGCTGCTCCCAGCACGCCTCACCCCCTCGTCCTGCAGTCATACAGGTTCAGGGAGGCATCCATCCCTACTGCCCCCCAGTCCTTAACGTCAGGAGCCTGCTGCCAGCGGATGGGAGCTTGATGGTACCATCCGGAGCCAAAGGCAGCTGGGCAGGGAAAGCCTGTGCCCGCCTGTCCTGTGTGGCCTGTGCACGCCTCTGTGGGGTGAACAGAAGGAAGTGGGCCTCCCGGGCCTCTGACAGCCTAAGAAGTGCCTCATCAATCAAGCCCATCAAGGCCACAGCCGTGCCCTGGCTGTCATCTTCGGACTCTTCCTGGGAGGAAACGGGGAAGGGTGCACTGCAGAAAAAAGGGGCCAGGCGGAGGTGGTCCAGGATCTGATTTATTGTGTGGGTGGTCACCGGAGGCTTTCCCCCACCCCAACACCCCCTCTCCCCGCTGCTGCCGCCGCCACTGCCCTCTTTTCCTCTTGTCCTCTTCCAACCTTACCTTTCCTCCTGTCTCCCACTCTTCTTCCTCACGTACTCACAGCTGCAGAGAACCAAAAAAAGAAGAAGAAAAAGGCATGTTTGTGAAGGCAGAGCAGATGGGAGAGGACTGCTGCTCAGTCTCACCCACAGAGCGGGGGTGTTTCTCTGCCTGGTAGGTGGGTACAATTTGCTGAACCCTTGGCATATGAATGTTCCCTCCTTCCCTTCCATATGTCTTCTGCCCCCCGACAGCCTTGAAGTATCCGGTCCAGGCCACACACCTCCCATGGACAGAAGGCTTGGGCGTGGGTAACACAGGAGGGTGACCTTGGGAAGCACTCCAGGGCCTATGAAACTGCGAAGGAAGAACAATCTATCAGTAAGAAAACAGGACTGTTGGTGGCCTACCAGACAGGGGCCTCTTGTTGCAGAAGACTGTACTGGGGTGATGGCCGTGGTTTAAGTTTGGTGTCAACAGTGAAGTCTCACTTGTCTCTGAATACACCCAGGACATATGGAGCCTCAATAAGTGCTGACTTACAGCAGCTGAATAAGCAGATGAGTTGCTATAGCTCACACCTACGTTTCTGGTTATTTCCTCTGAGTCTCCTTAAAACCTCCTCCGCCACCTCCTCCTCAAGCATCGTTATACAAACATCACTCCACAGGATTCCATTCGGGGCCCTTTTCTCCTTGCTCTCGAAACACACTCCCTGAACCACCTCATCCATTCCCCTGCCTTCCGTCTCCAAGCGGGGGCCAGGGGTTTTCAGGGCCCTCTCCTCCCCTGCAGACCCCCATGCTCCACATCACTCAACATCTCAATATCTGCTTCTCCTCCAGGGCTCTCGGGGTTACCAACTACCCAGGTATCCAAGCGACACAACTGAGCCTCATCCTTGACTTTTTCTTCTGTCCCCTCATCCCAGTCACTGGAATCCTCTCGATGAAATGCCCTCAGTATTACTAAATTCCACCCGCTTCTCTTTCTCGTCACTGACACCACTCAGATCCAGGACACGTCAGCCTCTCACATAGACACTAAAACTGCCCCTGCACAGGCTTCCTGCCCCTGGTCTTGCCCCTCTTCCATTCATACTTCACGGGGCAGTCAGAGTGATTTCTAAAACATACATCCACCACTACAGGCTGTCCGTTAGGGAAAGCTCCAACACCCTCCTCCTGGCTCACAAAGCCCTGTGAGTCTATTCCCCTCTCCAGCCTCACGTCTGCCACCTCACTTCTCGCTCTGCACTGAAGACTCAGGCAGGGGCTTGCTTGCCCCATCGTGGTACACGCTTCCCGCTAATAAGCCTGTTCACCCAGAGGCTTCAACCCAGACATCACAGATTCCTTCAACCCAGACATCACAGATTCCTTCAACCCAGACATCACAGATTCCCCCAGAAAGCTGCCCCTCCCCATGCTCTTGTCACAGGAGCCCGCACTTCCCAGCAGAGGACTAGTTCCACCCACTGCGATCGCTCAGTTACTCTGTATTTGCCAATGTACAGGGTGGGGCAAAAGTAGGTTTACAGTTGTGAGCACGTGAAACAAAGTTTATCCTTGTATGATTATTGATTGATGGTTGTATTGCAGACAATTGTAAAACTACTTTCAGATCCCCCTAGCAAACTGCGGCTCTTTTGGCCCCCTGAGTGTGGCTCTTCCACAAAATACCACGGCCTGGGCGAATCTATTTTGAAGAAGTGGCATTAGAAGAAGTTTAAGTTTAAAAATTTTGGCTCTCAAAAGAAATTTCAATCAGTGTACTGTTGATAGTTGGCTCTGTTGACTAATGAGTTTGCTGACCACTGCCCTATCCTCATCCCCACCCTGAAGCAACCACTAATCTACGCCTCTACAGATTTGCCTATTTTGGATATTCTTTTTTTTTTTTTAAACATATTTTTGTTGATTTCAGAGAGGAAGGGAAAGGGAGAGAGAAATAGAAACATCAATGATGAGAGAGAATCATTGATCAAACTGTCTCCTGCCTGCCCTACAATGGGATCAAGCCCGAAATGCGGGCATGTGCCCTTGACTGGAATCCAACCTGGGACCCTTCAGTCCACAGCTAACACTATCCACAGAGCCAAACTGGCTAGGGCTAGTCTGGATATTTTAAAAAATATATATTTTATTGATTTTTTACAGAGAGGAAGAGAGAGGGATAGAGAGCTAGAAACATCGATGAGAGAGAGACATCGACCAGCTGCCTCTTGCACACCCCCCACTGGGGATGTGCCCACACCGAGGTACACGCCCTTGACCGGAATCAAACCTGGGACCCTTCAGTCCGCAGGCCAACGCTCTATCCACTGAGCCAAACCGGTTTCGGCTATTCTGGATATTCTTATAAATGAAATTTATGAGGTTAGGTCTTCCAACTTACCCAGTTCTAAGATTCACCTGAGAACTGCCCTGGAGATTCAAATTCAGAGGGCTGGGTGGGGTCAGGGAATCTGCATTTTTAACACATGTTCCAGGCAATTCTCTATTTAATTAGGTTGCACCTGTCTTTACCATCTCCAGCAACCAAGCTCATATACAGATAGGTGATCAAAATTAGCTTTTGATGAATACCTCTAACCCTTGTATCTAGCTCTTGGCTCCCTATATCCAGGCTCCCTAAGTGATGTCTTGGTCTTATCTCAAACACAACCTCAAAACCTTTAAAGTATTCTTAATGCAGAATAAGCCTGGACACTCAAAACATCCCCCATCGTCCCCCATAAAACACAGCTCTTTAGAATGTGCTGTTACCACCCGGATCCCAATTAAAGAATGGGATAAGGGGACAATATAGAGGGAGAGCTGTGAAACTGGTGGAGGAAGTAAGCAAATTGAATTCATGGGAGCCACAGGGGGCAGCTAGAAAGGAAGTTAAAGAGGTAATCAGGGACTTAGTCACCTAGGCCTGCTGAGGAGTTTGAAATTTACCCCCCAGGGCACTGGGGAGCAATCGTGGGGCTTGAAGCAGGGGAATTTTGAGATCCCATCTCTGCTTTCCAAAGGTCACTCAGGCAGTCATGCGGAGGCAAGAAGCTGTGATGACTCCCAAGCTGTGGTCAGAAGTGATAGGGACGTGGGCCTGGATAGAGGGGGTGGGGAAGGAGAGGTGAGCATGGAGAGATGTTTTGAAGGCAGAATAGATAGGATTTGGTGATGGATTGGACGTAGCAGATGAAAGAATGAAGCCCAGGTTTCTGGCCTGGATGATGGATGGATGGTAATATCTTTTATTGAAAATGGGAAGCCCCAGAGAACCAGGTTAGGCGGAGAGTGATAAGGCCATAAGGATGGTATCGGAACCATCCAGGAGGAAGTATCAGGAAAGAAGCAAGAAGAGAAGGCTGTAAGCTAGAGGCAGAAGCTTGAAAGTCATCTGTTTACCGTGAAGTCTCATATGACTACTGTACAGGGACCAATTTTTGTTCCTCCCACACTTTTTAGTCCATATCGTTTACTTGCCTCTCCATCCTTAATTTTAACCTACTAATGCTCATGAGGTTTAGTGTGGCCTCCCCAGACTAATATAGGGCACTTGAAGCTAAGGACATTTCTTATCTCTACTATTATCTTTCCTCAAGCACAGACCTGGGTGTCAGTTTTTTTTAGGACATACTTATAGATTGTCATCACTCCAAACAGCTCTGCTATCTGCCTTCCAAGTGCCTGAAATTTCCATCATTAAAGTCCATCCTTGCCCTAACCAGTCTGGCTCAGTGGATAGAGCGTCAGCCTGCAGATGGAAAGGTCCTGGGTTCGATTCTGGTCAAGGGCATGTACCTTGGTTGCGGGCACATCCCCAGTAGAGGGTGTGTAAGAGGCAGCTGATTGATGATTCTTTCTCATCGATGTTTCTAACTCTCTGTCCCTCTCTCTTCCACTCTGTAAAAAAGCAATAAAATATATATATATATATATATATATATATATATATATATATATATATATTTATTTATTTATTTTTTCTTTTCTTCTCGCCGAGACCGGTTTGGCTCAATGGATAGAGCGTCGGCTTGGGGACTGAAGAGTCCTGGATTCAATTCCGGTCAAGGGCATGTACCTTGGTTGTGGGCATATCCCCAGTAGGGAGTGTGCAAGAGGCAGCTGATCGATGACTCTCTCTTATCGATGTTTCTAACTCTCTATCTCTCTTCCTTCCTCTCTGTACAAAATCAATAAAATATATTTTAAAAAATATATATATTTATAAATCAATCATACATATATTTTTAAATCAATAAAATATATTAAAAAAAAAAAAAAGCCCATCCTTTGGGTTAAGACCGTAGTATCCAACTTGTTTTAGGGGTAGAAGCTTTTTTCCTCCCTGAATAAATCACAAAATTTGGAGAAGTAGGGGAAGATGGGTGAGGAGAGGCCTGGAGCCTGTCTGCTACACCTCCCTTCCCTTCCTCTTCCAAAGCGGCCCCTGAGCTAAAGAATCGTCTCCAGAGGATGACTAGAAATGTATCTGACAGAGTGAGGACCTCTGAGCAGCCAGGTGGGGCCAGAAGTTTCGAGTATTCATTCTGTTTTTGCCAACAAGTTATTGGATGACTCTGAGCAAGTATTCATTTCTTTCGTTTGGGACAAAACTGTCTGGTTCTTCAAATAATGTTGTGAGCATCAATTACAAGGGCAGGCATGAAAAGTTGTTTTGCGCCGTAACCGGTTTGTCTCAGCGGTAGAGCGTCGGTCTGCGGACTGAAGGGTCCCAGGTTCGATTCCGGTCAAGGGCATGTACGTTGGTTGTGGGCACATCCCCGGTAGGGTGTGTGCAAGAGGCAGCTGATCGATGTTTCTCTCTCATCGACGTTTCTAGCTCTCTCTCTCTCTCCCTTCCTCTCTGTAAAAAATCAATAAAATATATTAAAAAAAGAAAAAAGAAAGTTGTTTTGCAAAATATGATAAAGAATGATCAAGGCATGTCTGAAAAATGTAGATAAAAGCACACACAACAAAAGTAACCTACTTCCCGCCCTAACCGGTTTGGCTCAGTGGATAGAGTGTCAGCCTGCGGACTGAAGAGTCCTGGGTTCGATTGCGGTC